GCGACAGCCAGGCACCGAGGGCTCACAGGTACCTCAGGCTCCTTCACACACCCTGCCTTTGCTCCAGGACTACTCAGGGGGACACAGCTCCTTCTGTCCCCCTCATCCCATCAATTCCCTGCAGAGGCATCGCTTCTTTCCCTGCAGGATCAGACCTTTTGATCCCATTTTGCCAAAAGCCCTAGTAATTATTGGGCATTTAGTTACAGTAATATATATAAATATAATAATTAAATTATTATAATCAGGCTGGGGCAAGCTCTGCGCGTCACCTCCCCTCCACGCCTCGAGCTGGGACTTAACACAATTTTGCAGTAAATGTGCCGCAGCCAAACTCCTCATAATGCATTAAAATCCCTGAGTGCCTGGGTATGTGTCTTAGTCAGATTTGGACCACCAACCTCGTAAAATTCTGAACTTTATTGCATTGACAAGGCTGTGAGCTGAAGCTTTGCAGCCATTTTTCTGCCTCTGCACAGCCATGGGAAGCAGCACCTTCCCAGTGAGCAGCTCTCAGTGCCAGCAGGGTCCTTGCAGTGACAGGTACCATTCCACCATCACACTGTGATGCTGATGGGAGTGGCAGACCCAGGGATGTGGTGTCCCCTGTCCTGATGACACTGTCCCCATCGGGGATGGGGACCTTTGAGAAAAGCACAGCGACAGTGCTGCCTGCACAGGGACGTGCCAGCCACTTGCTATGTGCCAGCTGCACTCATCACGGCTCTCCCTCCTCTCCTACGTGCCTCCCAGAGGGATTTGGCGGAGAGAAAGGCTTTAATTTTGCCATAAGCAAGAAAAAACGCCCCAGTGGAGGGGGGTGACGCAGGTTGCTCCTTGCAGCTCCCAGAGATGGCTTCCACCACCCGACTACCCCTGCCACCTCCTGCCTCCCCACAGGCGCAGCCTCTCAGCCCTCCTGCCTGCTCTCCTCAACACCGGCACTCGATATTCACGGCTGAGAGTTTATCAGAGAGACAGCGCAGCTCAACTGGCTGGAAAATGAGCCCGTGATTCATTACACCTCCCCTGCCCACCCGGGGAGTGCAGGGTCTTGCTCGGGGACCCACAGAAGGGGCTTCACCAGCCATGAGGGATGATGGACCCTAAGCTGTCAGTGCAGGAGTTTAGGGATGCTGAGACAGGTCCTGTATCTGATGTGCACGGGGCTGTGTCTGACGGGCGATGTGTTTGCAGGCGTTGAGTGTGCTCAGGGAAATTGCAGGTTGTTTGTCACCTCTTTCCCCATGCCTCGGCGGGTTAGGTGGATAATAGCTGTGGGAAGGCTCGCTGTTATTTCCCACAGCCCCTCCGCTTCTCATCGTCGCTCGTTAGCAAATGCAGAGCAAATCGCCTCTTCCTCCTCCCCACCGCGCGCTCTCCAGCGTGCTCAGCCGAGTGTGAAGGAGCCGAGTGGCGCAGGCTGGGGCTGCTTCTGCGGGCAGGCGGCTCCTGGGATGCGTCTGGGGGGGTTGGGCAGCTCCCGGGGTTTCCCCCAGAGGTGAGGGTTTGACTGGGAAACTAAAGCGTGTGCATTGTCTATCACTTTTTCCATCTGCTTTGGAGATGGACTCCTTGGTTATTAACTTACAGACTCCCAACTTTGCCTTCTTCCCTCTCTCTGGAGTGTCCCTGGGTGCCACAAGTGAGCTCTGTTTGATGAAAGGTCCCTTTCCAAGCCCCAATGCTCCCCTGAGCACAGCAGCAGCCCCCGCCAGGCTGGCCAGGCTCTGCGGGGTAAGCAATGCCCGACACAGGGCCAGGAGAGATGTCCTGGCCTCCCGCTGCCCTCCACTGCCTCCTCTCTGACATCTCTCAGGGACGTGTCATTAGTTTCAGTAACCGCAGGATGTCTGGAGTCCCTGTTACACTAATTAACTCTGCTCCTCTATTAGGCATGCTTAATTAGCCAGCGTTCGCACGTGGAGGTCGCCGTTGGCGTACCGTGGTTCAAGCGCTGCCGACCTTTCCCATGCCCGCACATTCCCACTTCAGCTGCTGACCCCAGCCATGGGCGAGGATGGCACTGGCAGGGACCCTGCAGCATCTCCCCTGTCCCTACAGGCTGAGCTCCCAGCAGAGGCATTTTCCTCCTCGCGGGGTTGAATCTCACTAAATCCCACTAACTCCCTCCCCTGCTGCTCACCACAGGGCCGTGCCTGCGACCACTATGGCATCTACCACACCAGCCCCACGCTGGGCAGCCTGGCCAAGCCAGTGGTGCTCTGGACCCAGCAGGATGTGTGCAAATGGCTGAAGAAGCACTGCCCCCATAACTATCTCATCTACGTCGAGGCATTCTCCCACCATGCCATCACAGGTACGGTAGATACCCCCACTAATCACCAGTACTAATTGCTCACTTCAATTCATATAATAAGAATATTTTAATAGTTTTTTTTAAATACTGAGAATTTTTGCAGAAGAGGAAAGATCTCTGCTCAGCTGGAGCCCAGGCTACCAATGTCTTCCTCCAGGTCTGAATCCAATTCCCAGCCAAGTCTTTGGAGGAGAATAACCTCTAGGACCTGCTCCCTCCCCTTCACCCCCTGGGGACAGTGGCTTTGACCCCATTGTACAAGCATCGTCCTGGTTCCACCGTGATGTGTGCTTGGCTGGGCAGAGGAGAAAGCAGTGGGGAAGGGAGTGCTGAAGCTGCCTGGGAGGGATGTAGAGCCCTAATGCAAGAGCTCAGCCAGCCTTTGCGTGGTAAACAAAGGCAGCATTAGCGAATATACGCTGGGAAACAAGGACAAAAGCTGGTTGTAAATCCCTCGTCTAATAGCCCCTGGACTGGAGGAGAGTGGTTCGCTGGGGACAGTGGTGGTAGCGCTAATGCATTTTGATGGGTACCCCCGTCCCCCCCGGATGGCCAGCACCGCACAAGGACCGTGTGCTGGGCAAAACATCTCCTGATGTGGGAGGTGAAGTGGAGAAATGGAAAGCTCCTGCCTGCGGGGATGGGTTGCGTGACTGCTGAAGCCAATACCTGTCCCAAGGGTGGGGACCTCGAGCTGCCACCCGGTGCTCTTCAAAAGCAGGGCCACCACCTCCATCTCTGTGGGTCCAGGTGGCAAAAGAGCATTTTAGGATTTCTTCCCTTTCCCCCTCCTTGTTCCCATGCGAAGGTGGGCTCCTATTTGAGTCACACTGGTACGGTGTCCCCACCACATTTCTGAGAGATGCTGTGTCCGCAGGTCGGGCGCTGCTGCGGCTGAACGGGGAGAAGCTGCAGCGCATGGGCATTGCTCACGAGGCGCAGCGGCAGGAGGTCCTGCAGCAGGTCCTGCAGCTCCAGGTGCGTGAGGAGGTCCGAAACCTGCAGCTGCTCAGCCAAGGTAAGGCTGGGGGGAGGGTGAGCTGAAAGAGTCCACAAAGCTCAACCCCAAGGAGGTTGTGTCCCTCCTGCAGCTGTCTGGACAAGGAGAGCAGTGGCTGGGTGGCTGCCGAAGCCAGAGGCACCCACCTGTGCGTGGCTGGCAGAAATGCAGGGACAGGGCATGGAGTACAGGTTGGGGTGCACTTGAATGAATTGTGGTGCAGAGGGTCGAGGCATCTGTGATGGGTTGTGGTGCACTGGGATGGGTTGTGGTGCACAGGGCTGGACTGCGGTGCACAGCATAAAATCCAGTAATGGCATTTTGCATGGAAAGGACGGGATCCTTCGTCGCTGGTGGTGGGTGAGCTGGACTGTGCCACCCTGCAGGCTGTTTATTCCTTCCTCTCCCGCCTTGTTCCAGCTTCTTTTGGAAATGTCTCCTAGCTGATCCATCTGTTTGGCAGATTGTACCAACACTGTGAACCAAGCACCTCTGGGATGGGCTGTGCACCGCTGATACGAGACCTGAACCGCACGCTTGGAATATGAAGAGATGGCTTCCCTGCCATGCCGGGGCTCCTCTCCTTCTTCTTCTCTCTCTTTCTTTTTTATGAATACATTTCTGTGCAGAGATGGGAGGTCTCCTCCAGCAGATGCGGCTCTTGCCTGGAGAACAATTAGCAAAACAGCCGCTGGGACTGACGAACTTTTGCCCACTTGAGCCTTATGGTTCGCAGGGGAAGAGGTGGGAAAAAGGAGACGGCGAGTGGCATTGTGGACAAATCAAGCACGGTTATTCCCGGAACTGCTCAGAGCCATGCACAGGACGGTGAAGCCTTACGCACATGGGTGACATCCCAGCACCCGGCAGCTCATGTCCATACCTCGGAGCTTATCTAGGGAGTGTTAGTTTTCTCTTCAGACTGGGCTGTCTTCCAGCATCCTAGGAGGTAATGTTATTAGTAGCAAATAAGATGATCTGAGCAGCCAAAAAAAATAATTAAAAGTGGGGCCAAGCCACCAACTCTCAGCTCCACTGGGTGAGTTTAAAAGGGAGCTGAGTCATCAGAACTGAAAAATCCAGGAGCAAAGGCAGGGTGGATGTGCCAGAGGGTGCCGTGGCCTGGAGGGAGCTGTGCCAGGAGCTCGTCCTTCATCCGTCCTCATTTGCGGGCAGACGGGGAAGCCGATGCAGGGGCCGGGTGGGAGCAGCCAGGGATGCTGCTGGGTGGTGCTGGGTGCTGCCCAGAATGGGGCTGGGATTCCTGGGTGTCAGGTCCCACCCTGTCCCGATGCTCAGTTGTGCTCCTCTCACATCCCCTGTGCTCCCATCAGCTCTCTGTGGAGCTCTGCTCCTCCGGGCATTTGCAAATGCTCATCTTGACCTCCTGCCCAGGGGTTGGTGACGGTGCCACCAAGCCCAGGCACTGTCCCAGTGACCCAGCTTGTCATTATGGTGAAGCAGCGTTTACTGTTACACCCCCCTGCACCCAAACTCTCCCTGTCTGGAGCCACAGACTGCTCACATGGACAAGTAAGGAACAACCCGGGATTTAGGGGCAGGGTGGATGCTGTCACCTGTCCATGTTCCCACTCCAGTTACGAGGACAGGGCTGTGGGCTGGGGTGGGTCCCAAAATGGCAGCACCCCAAAGCCCCCGAGGCATCAGAGCTGGCAGGGATGCAGGAGCAAGTCGCTCCCCAGCCAGGCACCCTGCCGTCACCGGCCTGCTCCTCTGCTGGTAATAAAATAAGAGACTGTTATTTTAACTTGCTGCTTTTCTGACTCTTCCCATGCCTGAACCTGTGCCCTGGGTTTGGTCCCTCCAGCCCTTCCTGGGAATGCTCAGAAGGTGTCTACAGCCCCAAATCCTTCTGGACAAGGACCTCCAAGGCACCTCACACTGTGGCCCTGCAGGAGCCAGCCTCACCCTGGGGGGTTTTACAAGTATTTAAATCCTCTCCCAGCTCCACAGAAACCACTGCAGAAATGAAAATTAAGAAGCTGCTAGTCTTTGCTGGTGGGTGGCTGTATAACGGAATTTGGGGTGGTAGTTGCCACTCAGGAGCAGATAACATCTCAACATCTTATGGCAAAGTGAAGGTCTCCAAAGCTCATCTGTGAGTGTCATTACCCTGGATAACGAGCTGTGCTGAGTGGGGTGGGAGGCTGTGGGCAGGGTTAAGGCAGCGGTAGCCCGGTGCCATCCCTGTCCCATTGCAGTGACACTGCTACCCAAACAAAGGAGATAGGAGATTTCCACAGGGGTCGGATCAAAGAGGAGCTGAAAATAAGTTGTTTGCCCACAGTTGGCAAAATCTGAGATTGGACTCAAAGGTTTTTTGCCTCTCCCCTGAAATCCCCAAAGAAAGCTGTCCCCACAGCCCTCCAGGTGGTCTTGAGGTGTCGGTGGGGCAGGAGAAGATGCATTTCCCAGGGATTTGCCTCCAGGATTTGGAGGGCAGGTACCCCCAAAGGCTCAGACTCTTGAGCACTGACTGAGGTTGGATGGGCGTTTCAAGCCAGCACCTGACCTGGGGCTCAAGGAAGGACATGATGGGCACAGGCAGGATGCGGGATGCACAGAGCATCCTCAGGCTTCAGCCATGGTGGCCATGCTTGGTCCCCAGGAAGGGGTTGTACAAGGCCCAGGTGATGGAAAAGTCTCAGAAACAAAATCTGGTTCTCAGACTGTTTTGGTTTGGATAATGAATTCACCAAAGGGCACTCAGATCCAGGCAGGCGAGTTCTGTCTCCTGCACCAGTGTGATTTCCACAAGACCAGCATCGCCAAAGGAGTTTATAACTCACATCTGCCACTCTCAGAGAACGGGTTTGGTGCTGGGCTGAAGGCAAAGCCTTCAAATTTCTTCCAAATTTCCAAAAATCCAAATTTCCTCTGTTCTCTCCCCTCTCTGCATGTGGGTTGGCTCTGCCAGACCTCCCCAGTGGGTAATTCCCATTTGAGCTTTGCTGTGGTGGGGGCAGATGGGGGGCTGCAACCCTCAGGTTCCATCTGCAAGGAAAGAGCTTTGGGGCTTCACTGTGCGCAGCCCCCAGACCCCCAAGGACACAGAAATTAAAATTTCCTTCTCTGCCCATACTGACCTTTTAAAAAATGCAGTAAAATTGGCCCTTCTCACCTCACTAGAAACTCACGAGCAGCAAAGCTGGGGGAATTTATTGAATTTTATGAAAAGTAAAGAAAAAACAAGGAAAAAAGCCCAACATCTCTGCAGCAGCAGCCGTGGGCTCTGTTCCAACAGCCACAATGGAGCCACGTACCCATACCGGCCAGTGCGGGATCCAGGTTTGCTCCTTGTTACATGGCGAGCAGAGCCCTGCACAGGATGCGGTCCCGTCCCCACACAGGACACTGTGAAACCTTCAGTCCTGGATGGATCAGAGCTAAATAAAGCCCAAGCAAGCCTGGCTGCGGGTGAGGGATCGTTAGAGGGAGATGCTGAGCTTCTCTCCAGAGCTTCGGAGCTGCGCAGGGGAGAAATGGCTTCTCCAGCCTTCGACTCCAGGCTCTGCTCACACAGCAACTTGGTGGTGGTTTTGCTCGAAATGCAGCTGGGGTGCAGGGAGTGGTGCTGGGGCTGCCCATGATCCCCCTGAAAAGGCAGGGTTCCCCTGCCAGGTCCTGCCTCAAAGCCCGGCTGCCCCCTGCTCTGCTCCCAAGGGCATGCGTGGCCATGGGACGCCCCCAGGTGTCCACCTATGCCGGGCTGTGCTCTAGCTCTCTCCAGCTCCTCATCCACACAGAAGAAAGCAGAAACCCTGTCAGTGTGCTCGGCTGGAGCCTGAAGCACGGCCCTGTTGGGGTGTGCCTCTGAGACCCCGCTGGGTTTGCTGAGACCTGGAGGAGCGGGGTGAAGCGATGTTCACGGGGCAGGCAGGAGCATGCTGTGCCCTATCAGGGTCTGTGCCAGGGTCTGGTGAGGATGGTGATGATGGGAGCTGAGCATCCTTCCCAGCTGGCTCTGGATCACTGGATCAGTGTCTGGTGCCATCATCCAAGGGGCACTCAGGGCCAGACTCTGCCCAGGGCAGCATGGACACATTCGGAGTAGTGCTGAGCATGGCTTTGCCTTCGCTGTCTCTGGGCATGCAGCAAAATCTGTTTACGTGGCAGCACCATCCTCCCCACAGGCTCCTGAGTGAGCACCTGGACCCATGGGTGCTGCACCAGGACCCTCAGGCAGTGGAAAGAGATGGGTGCTCAGATTCCTCTCCGGACTGAGAGGCAGCCTGGTCACTCCTCAGCTTTTGCTGAACAAGAAAAATATCTTATATCTGTCTAGCACTTCTCTGCAAGGGCTATTCCAGGCACTGCCTTAATCCAAACAGCACCAGACAACAAGATACAGATGAATCAGGCGCTGATTTGTGCAGTATTAAAATCAAACAACAATTAAAGAGAAAACACCAGCAAGTACAAATCAATCCTGTGCAGCAGGCAGGAGGATGCAGGCAGCAGAGGTGGGGTGAGGGGTTAGGCAATGGCAGCTATTGGAGAGCACACGACTTTGCCACCTCCAATTAACTTTTTCTGCTTGTAGTGATGTTTTGCAGTGAGCAGGACAAGCATCAGAAATACCAGCCAACATCTTGTCTTCTAAAGGAAAAACCCAGCAATCTCTTCCCAATGGTAGAGGCGGATTGCAGATTCCAGCAAGGTTTTCAAGCAGGGAAAAAAAAAGCCTCAGTTGCATAGAGAAAATGCATGCCTAATTTGTCCAAGTAATTACAGAGCCCGGCTTGATGATACAGATACCTCCAGCTCTGAAACGCTGCTGATTACATCTCTGATTCAGGAAACGATCCCCGTTCCCCCAACAATGAAATTCATGCTCGGCGGTGAACGCAGGCTGTGATTTCCCCGGCTGCGTGGGGGTCGAGGACTGGATTTGTTGAGCAGGGAGGGAAGGCAGCACCTGCCACAGGCTCTGCTGACACAAGACGGGTTTGAATCTGAACACCACACCCCAGCAGATGACACACTTAATCTAATTAGGAGTCTGTCCACCCATCATGTATCTGGAGGGATTAAGATCACCCCAAATCATCACCTTTTCGGTGCTCTCAGGTATAACTTCTTTATGAAGTTTCTTGCACTGGAGACCTGTGGGCACCTAAATGCACTGCGGTGGGATGACAGGAAGAAAAAAAGGAGGAATCCCAGTCGCTGGTGGCACGTGCAGAGTGTTGGGGCCACACAGGCCTCAGGGTGTGGGTGGTTGGGGGCTCAGCAGCCTGGTAGGGTGGCGTGGGTGCTGATACAAAGCAGGGGCACAGCGAAACGACTGCTCCAGGGATGCTCCAGCAACCACATCCCGGCACTGGAAAACCTTCGCTGCCTTATCCTGGAGCCCTGGTCCCCACCCTGGCTGCCTGGTGCTGGAGGACAGGATGGGGCCTGGGGTCACACAGGCTCTCAG